ACTATGAATCACTTAAAGGTAATACAAAGTTTTGGTAAATTTTAAAAATTGGGTGGATAGTGATTCTTAACAGTTTTTATATATTTGGATGCCCCTGTGGATGTATTATAAACACTAGAAAAATTAGCCCCTAAAACACTTCTGCTTTCGAGAAAAAATGAATATAAAAATTTACCGGTGCTCCCGGTAAATTGTGATAAATTTCAAATAGCGCCTACGGCCGTACAGTGGTAGCTGCGACCATGAAAATCTCAGAATATATAGATGTGATATCTAATTACCAAATGAATAGCTAATTGGTCGATTTTAGTCAAGAAACATTGTTTTATAGCTTAATTAATATATTGACCTTGAGAGGGAGCTATACAACATAAAGAGTGTATTATTTACAATTTCATAACTTTAGACTCGATTTCAACCGCGACAACGATCACTGAATATTATAGGATCGCATATGCTTCCAATATGCTAATTGAACCAAATTCATGACACCATACCAAATCTTTGTATTACCTTTAACAAGTCAAACTAGGTCTACAGTTATGATAACAACGACCTATTATTTCCAATCTAAAAAACAATGAAAGCCACCCTCGATCATAGAATCGTATGAATAAATTGCTCATTAAATGAAGAAAAAAATGGATGATAAGACGTAGACATAAACCTTGGCAAAAGTATGGCTAATTATCCTGTTATTAATGGCAATTTTCTAAAGATTTTGAGGGCTTAATGAATGAAAAAAATCGAGGACACTTCGTAATGTAAAATGTAGCCTTTGTGGATTGAACTTTTAATGGGAAGATTTATTTCCCATATGCACTCTGATATAATTGGTAAGTCATCTTGAAGGTTCGACGAGAGGTGATCGTTAAAAATAAATAAATTGAAGAACAAAGTCAACCAATCTAGCGACCAGCTCTGATATATGTATATTGGTAAGTCATATTGGAGGTTCGACGAGAGGTGATCTTTAAAAAACAAATGAATTGAATAACAAAGTCAACCAATCTAGCGACCAACTGTGATATATGTATATTGGTAAGTCATATTGAAGGTTCGACGAGAAGTGATCTTTTAAAAAAAAATGAAGAACAAAGTCAACCAAACTAGCGACCAACGGATTTTTCTACAGTTGTCATTGTTTTGTTTACTGAAGAAAAATCGAGGCGTAAAACCAAATGCTTGTTTTCTTTTCTTTCTTCATTTTTCAATCGCACTCTTTTCTCTACTTTCCTTTTTCATTATTTCTTTCCCTCTAGTTAGGAGAAGGCGGTAGCCCATCGCCCTTCCACCAGTTTACCATTTCCACGGGAACCTATATAGATTGACCTGCTATGTTTCTTGTTTTCAATTCTCAGTCTGAAGGAAGAAAATGTTCCTACCTTTCAAAAAAACACAGAAATTGCTCAATCTTAATAATTCTATATTCGATGTTCTTTTTCTCTCCACTCTATTTTCACTCATTTATCCTTATTTCTTCTTTATTCTACTTCATCTTTTTCTTGTACTCAGTCTTTTTCTTTTTCTTCTTTTTCTTGTTGCTGCAGTTGTTCTTCTTCCTCCCACTCCCTCCCCTCTCTCGCGCGCGCTCTCTCTCTCCTCTCTCTCTCTCACACACACACACACACACACACACCACCTCACACATTCTCACATCAGGGCCTTTGTGGGGCACCTGATTGTGGGGGTATTTCTGTGCGTTCCAGATATACCTTGTGGTCCCCTACTAGTGGGGTATGTACAACCTGGCGATAACAACCCGGCGGTGTGCTTACGATGTTACCATAAAAACAGTGTGCAAGTTTTAGCACACGCTCACAAAAAGTCATTTATGGGGTACCACTTCTAATGCCCCGCAGGGCATAGGACACCGAATATACAGTCATTTGAAAGACTTTACTCTGTGGGGTCCTGAAAAAATACCCCACAAAGTAAAAATGCCTCACAAGGGGTATGTGAAGCGCACATAAAACCCCACAAGAATGCTGAGGTGAGAGCTCTCTCTCTCACACACACACACACACACACACTCTCTCTCTCTCTCTCTCTCTCTCACTCTCTCTCTCTCTCTCACACACACACACACACACACACACACACGCACACTCTCTCTCTCTCTCTCTCTCTCTTCCCCACCGTCCATGCCTCCTGCCTGCCTCTAATGGTTCTTTTCACTTCATATCTCGTACCCGTCGCGTCAAACTCTTGAGATCGAGATGCGAACTAAATTTCCCTTCTTTTATGTGATATTCCCGTTGATGTTTAAAATCATTAAGATGTCTTTTCACAAAGAATTACAAGTCAGTGACTTTTAGAATATCATCTTCACCCTCACTAATTACTACAATGACAATTCTCTCTCTTTTTTTATCATCATAGCACCATTACCATTAATCTTAACGATTACAAGAAGACTTGCTTTGCAAGCTCAAGTCTTCTGAACGAATATATATATAATCACCTAGACGTCGTTAACCATTGTCATGCTATTACATTTGTTTATATGACTAAAACGCTGTCATAGTGTATCTTAATGGATCACCATTAAAATCAAAATGGCGCTCCACTGCTTCACCGTATAATACTTTCATCCGTGATCCAGGTCTGCGAGTCTATAGGGGCGTTTTTTTTCTCCGCACAACCATTAAATATACAGTGTCTATGGTTACCGGAGAGAGAGAGAAAAAAGCGGGGGATTCCCGATTTTAATTTTACAGGGCAAAATGGAGGGATAGGAGATTAGGTTGTTTGTCTTTCTCTCTCGATTCTAAGAGTTTGCATAAAAGACAAAAAGTCTGCAATAGGGACAGATGAATTATTCAATATTGTAGTATACATTTAATAATGTTTTGTACTTGATACGAAATTGCTTCATTAGCATTAAAAGAAAAACAATATTTAGCTACAAAATATACATGTCCTAAAGTTCATTGGCTTACTTCTCTGAAAGATAAAAAACGAAGGAAGAATATGAAGAAAGTACTCCAGAATATATCTATAATTTGTCAAGAAGGGAAAACAAACAATGCATGCGATTCGAATAAGATTTTTTATTTCATCATTTCTTACAACAGGTCTACATAATATAAGATAATCGGTTACAGTCACGGAAATAACTTTAATCAATTATTTACCACAGTAAATACAGTTATAGAGAGATATATATAAATGACCATAATTAAGAGAAAGTAAGATGCGAGGAGCCGAAATAAAAGTAAAACTTGTGCACAATTATACTGCTCCATACAGCTGTATTACAGATAATGTTTAATAAACAGGCTTAAGTCTTCAAACTAAAAAAGGAAAATATAAAAATTGAAATGAATTTATCAGACAATACATATTTGATAAAAAATAGATTAAAACCATGATTAAAAAAAACATTCCTTCAACAATGTTGATAAAAAATCTATTATTTTAAAATAAAAATGGGCGTGGCACCCCCTTTCTAATATCATTTGATGTTTTTCCAAGAGATTTAGGATAGCAGCAATGCTAAAGCTTGGGTAACACTGTGGAGCACCAGGAGTGGCAAGTTTGACAGATATGAGTGCTCTACAAGAACCAACTATTATTTCTATTATTATAAAAGTCCGATAAATCCATGCGATTGAGTCACGAAACATCGTCATTTACGTTACACGAAGAAAAACCCAACTGTTTACATTTTTTTATTGACAACAAGTAAGAATTGCGCGTATCTAGATCAAGTCAAGATTGATCCAAATTCTGACACAAACATATTTACCTCATGAATAAGGTCGTGGGATGGAATTCTAGTAAATTTGCATACAACGTTGTGCTATTAGGCCCGTTCACACATAACAATTAGTGCGCTTTGGATCGCGATGCAAAGATCGATTTTCTTTGTTGCGACCGTTCATAATTTTATTGAACGAATTAATTTTCACTGGCTGTCTGCCGTAGCAACAAACAACAAACTCCGTTGAGTTGACGATCAGCCATGCATGAAGTCTTTCGTCTTCTTTGGTATTAGAGCAGACAGCCAGTAGAACGGATTCGTTTAATAAAATTATGGGAATGCAAGCATTACTTTAAACAAAAAGAACTTTGTTATTCCCGGCTCATTTTCCTGATTGAGGTGTCATATGAAAGGGCAAACAACTTTCTGGAAATGTGATTTTCTCTTTGAAATTCAGATATCGTTCGCTAAATGATTTTGTTGTACCCTTTCTTCAAATTGTTTTTAATCACTCATGCGTGAAATATGCATCATATGAGTTGCATCAAATGAAAGAAGAGGATCCAAGCTTTACAATTATGTGTCACATATTAATCATAATTGTGATTAAAACATCGATAATTATCAGTTTCGTTCTGGGACGCACTGTATTATGCTAAAAGGCCTAAAATAGATCCCAATCTCAAATAATTTTATGGCCGTTTTCTGGTATTTGACCTACTAATATTTATCATACTTATTAATACCGTGTCCGGATCACGTACTATGTCGTTTTCATTTTTGGACATATTTAATAGCTGGTGCGCAAGGCTATTTAAAGTGCCTTTTAGGTTGATTTTTGAAGGCATTTGAGATCGTAAAATTGATTTGACATCATGCTTTGGCAGTAGTGCTAGTCCGAAACTCATAAAGGGTCAGGTCATACCTGAACATTTCGTTTTGTGAGTTTTTTTTAGTTTCACACAAGGCCCTATAAGCGAGTTCACGGTTGCAGTCTGAGCATGAGCAGATAAAGGTCATTGCAGAACAAATTTTGAAATACATGGAAACGAAATACTGGATACATGCTCATGAAAGTTATGTAACATTATTCATTCATGCACATTCAGTGCACTCCATGGTACACAGGTGGAAGTATTCTTTGAAAAGGGGGAACAAAGGCTATTTATGTAGCACCTCCATCGCTGTAGGAGTGATTATTTCAAAATGTACAAAGTGGGACCTCTTCATGTTTTGAAAATCTGTGGATATTCGGGGTCATTGCAGTAAGGTGCTAACCGTGAACTGGTCTATTTCAGCGTAATAGCCTGCGCAGCCAGGCTGAGGGGCGCTCAATTTCGTGAAACTTTCCATGCAAAATGCAGAGAAAGACTCTTCGGAATAGCGGATGACGCCATCCGTAAATAATTGGGTTGAGGCAGCAGTTGGCACTAAGGATGATCAACACGTACGCTTCTGATATAGAGCATCCTGCTGTTGAGTTCGTAAAGGTTTGGACAATAACAAGGAAAATAATTGTCGGGCTAAGGCAAGCTAGAAATGCCACCACGACCAAGAACATGTTAATCGTAATCTTTGACTCCATATCATTCTTGCCGAATCGAAATAAACGGCGTTTGGGTGTTTCACTCGTATTTGGACGTCGTATAAATACCATGTTTGTTGAGTTGGTTGGGGGAGGAGAACTTGATGGTGCGGTTGATGTGGACCTGGCTCTAAAGCACACTTCGATCTCAGGAGATTCTACCCCAGAAGATTGTCTGTGTGCATTGTGTGCTTTATCATCATGACTTTCATGAGATGACCCGTCACTCAAACTCTGAAATCGGGCCATCGGTTCTTGAGGTTGTTGATCATGTTGTGGCCATGCATGAAGGCGCTGTTGAGATTCATTCTGTTCTTGTTCACGAAGGCGATTGTGAACAGCAGGATTATATGAAGAGGTGGAGGGGGCGTCTAAAGGGTTACCCATCGATGTTCCTGGGGTATCATTCGCGTTCTCAAGAACAACCGGGGTTGGTATACGCCTCGGTCGGTTTAGTTTCGCGGAGGACGGGTGCAGGGTGGCGCGGGCGATCCTCTGTGGCAGTTCTTGATTGCCCCCTTCACCATTTCCATCAGACACCTCACTAATAGATTGCAAAATGGAGGAGCGTTTTCCAGACGCAGATATATTACCTCTGTAGATGACACTGATGTCATCCTCACATGAAATCTTGACAGCAACAGCTTTAAAGTGATGCCTAACGTGTACATAAATCAAGATATAGAACACCAATGTGACGGTCACAAGAAAAACAATAACCGATGCTATCACAAAGTCAAATGTTTGGCCTTGGAGTGTACACGTATTCACGCTTGATTTGTAGGATGGACATATTCCACTTTGGGCGCCACCGAAGGCATGGGCAAGGCCAGTCAAGGAGAGTGGTATTGTATAGGAGAGGATAATTACGAGGGTTACCCGTCTCTTTTGAAACTGTTTTCTATAGCTATGCGCATGTTTGGTGATGTGGATGTATCGATTGAATGCAATGGCGGCCAGGAGATGGACGTTGGATCCGATGAAGATGTAGAAAGTAGTCGCAGCAATAGAACAGAAGAAGAAGAACACACGTGACCACATCCCAAGCAACGCGGCACTTTGAATCGGTAAGGTAATACTCGTGATGAAGTCACTTACACTTAAGGCTGCCACAAAGGCGTTGGCACTGGTCTGTAGACGTCTGGACATGGTCACTGCCAGTAGAACCATTGCATTTCCCACTATCCCAACGACAGCAATAACCAAATAGAGAAGAGCTGCAATTATATTCTCCATATCTGGATAAGATGTATATGTATTATTGGATGGTAGCGTTGTGTAGATGTCCAGCAGGGTTTCGCTTCCATTTTGCCAGATTACCTCGACCGCCACCTTTTCAGCCATTTTTCTGTCCCGCACTGAGAGCTGCCCTCGACTAACTCCAACACAATGATTTGATCGCATAAAACGAACCTGTTACAAACAATCTGTTGCGGCGCTGCTCAGTGTTGATTCGAAGCCCGCCCTTCTCGCGGAATATACGTCTATCCCATTATCGTTTGACGTATATAATTATGAACTCCCAATCATTTACTAATCCATATCCACTCTGAAGAAAATTCTTCATAAAGCCATGCCTGAGGGCGGTAACGGACAATCTAAAACAGCTTACGTTTTCGTGAAGAAAAAAATACAGGTGTATTTGATGGCCTCGGTAAAGTCTTGGAATTAAACAAGCAAATAAGAAACAGAAAAATCAGAAGCCAAAGTACATTCACGTGTGATGACCGCAAGTTATTATAATAAATTCGTTTAACGATTTTCTTTAGGAGACATTGAGAACAGCTCGGATAAGTTTATCTGCGTAAAACTATCCCCCTGGACAATCACCCGGGTACTGACCATCTGGAAAATTACCCACCCCCCCCCCCACGAACAATCAACCCCACTCTAGGAAAATTAAGCCCAAGAAAATTACCCCTAGGACAATTACCCCTGGGCAATTATCCCCTAGAAAATTAACCACAGGAAAATTACCCCTAGGACAATTACCCCCGGAAAATTACCCCCTAAAACAAATTACCCTGGACAATCACCACTAGAAATAATACCCCCTTAGGACAATTAATCTCCACGGACAATTACCCTTAGGACAATAACCCCCAGGGACAATTACCCCCGGAAAAATACCCCTTAGAACAATTAACCCTGGACAATCACCACTAGAACAATTACCCCCTTAGGACAATTAACCTCCACGGACAATTACCATTTAGGACAATAACCCCCTGGACAATAACCCAGGATAATTAAACCCTTACGACAACTGCCCCAACGGCCAATTACACCCTTCAGACAATAACAACTAGCCACCCGTGCCCCCCCCCCTCCCCCCATACCTACGCCACTACGTTCGGAACAGAACAGACAGTGGATAGTGCATACTTGTTGAAAATCATATTGTGATGCATAGTTGTTGAAAATCCTTTTTGGTCGCTCATTTGCTGAAAAATCATACTTTAATGTTTAATCGTCGTAATTCATATATTAAAGGCATCGTTTAACCATGAACCTAATAGAATTGTATTAGGTTCATGGTTTAACAATGTTAGATTTGAGATGCACGGCCCTACGTGTAATCAATGTCTGTGATATGTTGTAATATTGAAGCCCTAAAAATGTTGCACCTCAAAATGATCATAAAGTGCTTTAAAAAGTAAACATCTTTCAGTGACCGGTTTTACCATTCTCATTTTCACAAATTGACTGTAGTGTTATAACAAACGGTTAAAAATCGATTGGTAAACAGTTTTTGATATTTCTGATTCAAGTAATGAATAATATCTTCAACAGGCGATCGGTTTGTACACGTCATGGGATTACTGACTGACCTACGGTTTATAATTATAAATGCAGGATGAGCTAAATCTAAAATTTTGTTAAGAATTTGAGGCAAAAATATCCGATCCCTTTAATCATATTTTGAGACACAAATGCTTAAAAAACATGTTTTGATGCATAACATTTGGAAAAACAAATCATTTCAATGCATAATAAGCATTATGAGCATATTACTTCGCTAAAGTGTCATCATTAATAGTGATCTGTCCGTTTATGACAGGATCAGTGACCCAATCAGAATTCTACATCAAGTGGTTCTCCAAGTACCTTGAGCCATCCTTTTTATTCGTCGTATGCTGTTGCTCCACATTCTTCCCCTCTTCTTCTTTCCATCTATTCTGTCTCCCTCTGATCGTTTAAAGCAATACTCGTTTTCTTGAGCTCGATGCAACACCTCTTCATTCGAAACTATATCCCTCCGAGACACACCAGCTAGTAATTTACGCCAGCACCACGTTTAGACCGCTTCCAATCGCTGAATGTCCTTCCTGGTGAGTGTCCACGTCTCTGCCCCATACAACAGTTCGCTCCATACTAGGGACTTCACAAGACGCTTTCTCAAACTAAGGTCAATATTGTGGCTCATCAACAGGATATCTTGTCGTTGACATAAGGCAGCTCTCGCCAGCGCTCAGGCGCAAGATGACATCTTTGGCAGACTTGTCATCCTTAGTCAGCACACTGCCCAGATACTAGAAGTAATTCACACCTTCTACCATAACTGCATCTTCACGTTTTCATACATACACGCTAATCAGGGGGATGAAAACTCAAAAGACTTGGTGATGCATTCTATTAAAGGCCCACTGCACTACTTGTAGCTACTTGCGCCCTCTATATAACAAACAATGCCTAATCGGTGACCATTGGTCCCCCATGATCCTCTTTTCCTTATGTTAACTGAGAGCTGAGTTGATGAGATAACCACCTGTCTAGTGACCTTGCAGGGCAGTCTAATCCTTCATGTAAACTATGGCAGATAAGCTTTAAACCATCTTTATGCATTGATTATACATGGCTACAGCCAACGTGACCCAATGCCTCTTTACAACCTTTTCATGGGTAAACCACACCAAACGCCAATCCGAAACATAAATAGATTACCAGTGGCAAATTGCAGAAATGAAGAATATAGAGAAAAATTCTAGATTAAAAAAGGAAAGGGTATATTAAAGTTCACCATGAACATAAACTGATTTTATCGAAAGCAGAACAAAAAACACGAAACGGATAAAAATAATAATAATATTTAATTTTTATATAGCGCTTAATACAAATGTCTCTAAGCGCTTTACAAATATATTATTACCCCGGTCATTGGATTCAGTGCTTACCCGCACATAATTACCCGCACACAACGGATCAGTGGATGAATGAGAACTCCCGATACAAAAGTTTTGTATTTAAAAAAATAAAATGTGAACGGTCCACGCTTGTTAAAAGTTCTTTTTCAGCACCTGTCTCAATTACACACAAAAAAAGATATTGAATTAGGCCCCCCCCCCCCCCACAAAAAAAGACATGTGTAGCGTCCTGCCTTTTTGAAAAATAGGAAGGAGGAAGCCCTTTTTTGTCTTTTCAAAATGGCCGCTCGGTACATTTTCCCCGACAGTCGGGCTATTTTTCAAGATGGCCGCCGGCAATTGTTTTTATTTTGTATTTTTTAAATTAAGAAATAGATCCATTTTAGCAGTGTTTAAAAAAAAAAATCTTTAAAGAAAAAAAAGAGGCGCCCCCCCCCCCCAAAGGAAGCGGGCGGGGATGCTATACATGTATATTTTTTACATGGCAAATTGCAGAAATGAAGGATATGAAGATGCTGACTATAAGTATCGGCTCGCATGGTAATGTAGATATAGAGTACGCCTCCGGTTGCACCATGTGAGAGAGGGGGAGGATTGGGGAGTCCTGGAAAGGACTATCGTTAATCCGAAAGTTTCTTTTTTGAGTGTGTGTGTAGTCCTGAAAAAGGACTGTTGGTAATCTTTATTTGAGCTTATAGCTCTAAAGAGAACTATAGCGCCGGCTAGAGAGGATGGGTAGTAGGAGGGGCTCGACGTTTCGAACAGGTTGTTCTTTTTAGGACTACACACACACACCCACACACACACTTACCCAAACACACACTCAAGAACGAAAGATTACCGACAGTCCTTTTCAGGACTCCCCAATCGTCCCCCTCTCTCACATGGTGCTACCGTAAGCCTACTGTATAAATATTTAATTATACCAGTGGTATTCCCACCATATTTGACAGATGTTTCTCCACACCCTTTCTATAAAGACGATTCCCCCCCCCCCCCCTTCGTTTCAACATCATTGGAAAAAGAAAAGAAAACAAATGAAATTTGCAACTCAACGCAAGTGGGGGCGGGGGGGGGGGGTCTAGGTGAACGATCGCACTTATTTTGTGTAACATCCGGTATAACCTGACAAACAACATCCTCATTATTTTTTCAGGGTGGATTTCCTCTCTATAAATCCTTTCATTTCTCACTTGGAGCACAGTTTCTAGTCTGTTCAAATGATTTATTCATGACGACAGAGGGCGGCAAATAAAAACACGCATATGGTTTCATAGCTCTGGGCTATATTGAGATAATAATGTTGTTGTCAAATTTGCGTTATCGAATGCAAGGATCTTTGATCTCTAGTGGGTTAAGATTAAGGGATGATGAGAACACACTATAAGGCTCTCTTTATCGAGTGAAAGGATGATATATTTATCATCCCTAGAGGTATCAGTAACGGTGCCTGGTTCGGTGAAAAAAAACGTGCTGTGGACATAGGTATTGTAGTGTACTGGATGCATTACAGCATACGAGATTATTATCACGAGTTGGCAACAATGAATTTTGTTTCAAGTGTCATAGAATTCACCATTCTTTCCTTTTTACTTTGAAAAATAAATAATATTAATAATAAAACGGTGCTTATAAAGCACTTCCCACCGAAATCTTTTAGCGCTATAACAAACAAATTACAATGACAAACAATACTATATACTAAACAAAAAAATCACAAATAAACCTACAAATTCCAATACATATGAAATATACATCAATGTAAACAAAGTAGGTTAATCATCAAAAGCAATTTCGAATAGATGTGTATTAAGACAAATTCTGAATTTTTTGTTTGTTTGTTTTATTTATTAAACCATGTAAATAATTGTTTACAGATAATACAAATCAGTGGGTTACATCGAGATACGATACATAGTAGGAACAGTGCATACACAAAAAGTGTTTGAAGCGCAACGACCCTAAGATGACATAGCTGATAATTATTAGGTTGAGGTAGAACATGGCTTAAAATAAGACATTGTGTTGTTACAAGTATAAATACAAAATAAATCTTTGAATCAAAATCACCTTAACTTATTTGAATGACAAGCATAACAAGGGAATATACTTCATTACTTCTTCTTAATAACAAAAATAACACTATTTTTTTGGTTGACAATCTGACAGTTTTTGACATGTAAAGGTAATTCAGTAGAAAATTTGCAAACAGAGCGATGACCGTGAGAAAGCTTAAATCTCATCAGCCGTCTGTTTTTATCGATTGAGTTATTACTACTCAAAATATGAAGTATTTACGTTTTACCTTATTGCTTATTTCATTTATTTATTTTCTCATTATGATTTTTTGCTTTTTGTTCGGGGGGGGG